ACTCCTATCATACGGGTCTGTAATCTTGGTGGATGATGCTGAGCTCTGCATGTTCGCTGTAAGGGCAGACCAACAGAAAATCCTTCAGCCCACATCTCTGGAAAATACATTTTCAGGATGCATCAGCTCAGAGTGAGTGTTTCTCTGAGCTGAAAAAGGGCTGCGGGGATAGGATAAGACAGCGTGTCCGAGGTTTGGGTTGCAGGGGGCAGCCCGTGTTACAGCTGTTGAGATGTGAGCACACATCTTTGGTAATCTGATGACTGCTCTAATCCTCCAAAAGAGAGAATGGCTGAGGGGCCTGGGAAGGAGTGCTCATGACTTTCTGCCTCTCTTCAGTGGTGTCCCATCATTCCAATGAACTTCCTGGCATCCTGAGTGACACTGGGCTGAGCCATGCAGACCGTGCTGCTCACCTCAATGCTCTTAAGATGAACTGCTACTTGCTGACTTCCCTGGTGGATGCCTTTGAAATGGAAACCCTCAAGAACAGTTTGTCAGAGGCAGATCCTGGTGGGAAGGTAGGTGAGGGGACTGGGAGAAAAACAAGATGATAAAAGTCAGAAAAATTTTTAAGCTTGATGAACATCTATGAGATGTTATAGCTGGGTTTATTTAAGCCTGATGCCAGTAAAAGCAGTGCATAAGGTGGAGGGCTGGTGTTTCTGTGAAACTGCATGTGGAAAACAAATGGAGAATTGTGTCTAAACCTCAGCAGGGACTCAGATGCTCAGGCCTTTTTGTTTTGCTCTTCATTGTCTAACTGGTACTTAGTGTGCCAGTATTTTCTCATGGGTTTGTTTCTGTGGGAAGAGAGGAAGGCAGCGGATGCAGGTATGTCCTTAGATCACAGGAGACACCAGTGCTGGCCTCGGTCCAGGTGCCCGTGGGTGCCAGCTGTGACCTGTGCTGGACAGTGGGGCAGCTTGAACTGAGAGAGAAGAATTTGGGAAAGTCCAGTGTGATTCTGTGATGTTGTGCATATCACTGTGCGTCTCCTAATGCTGTAGAATTAACAGACGTTTATTTTCGAGGGAAGAAGGTTGGTGATTTATTTTTTTTCTGTTATCAAGCTGCTGGTGTTATCACATTGTCTAATCTCCTTTCTAGAACAAGAAGAACCATGCCAAGACTTCTGGATCCTTCTGGGAAGAGGAGAGGGAGCCAGTCTTACAGCTGCTTACGCAGGTGCTGCAGCTGGATCTCCATCAGCTTTGGGGTGGTTTATCGGTGGAAGAAGAATTTGTCAGGTATGGGATGGAGCAGATGTAAAGGTGGGATGACTGACTGGTTCTCTGGAAGGGAGGATTAAATGTTAAATCGACCAATGAGGTGGCATTACAGTCATCTGGAGGGTGCAGATCATTGGGAAACTGAGGAAACCAGCTTGAGGCAAAATTAATGTGTATAGGAACCACTTTGTTTCCTCAAAAATTCAGATGTTGCTTGCTAATTTTTAGAAGATATTGGAGAATCTGTTTGGTTTGATAGAAACGTTTGCCTAGTGTGGTGTGGTAGAATGATACTGGTTCTAGTTGTGATAGGTTTGCTGTCTGTCTTCTGTGGCTTTAGCTTAATGATGGGAAGCTGCTACCGTATCCTGGAGAATCCAAGTATCGGTCTTCAGAAGTATCGTGCCACACGGGAGGCTGTGACACATCTGCTTGCTGGAGCTCTGATTCACTGTGGTCAAATGTTCAGTGAGTTCCTGCTCTTCTGCCTTCTTCCTGAAACCATTCCCAATCACTTTCCCTGACCTCTTTCTTCCTTGTCTCGTGTGAAAGGTGCCACGCTGAAGATCACGCAGATGCTGCAGCACTTTGAACATGTAGCCCCTGTGTTTGCACAGGCCGTGAGCCTCTGGGCTAAAGAGTATGGTCTGAAAAGCCTGGTGGGTGAATTGCTAAGGTGAGAGAAATACCTTGACACTTGTCCTTCTACCCCTAGCAACTTAAGGCACCCCATTCCTTTTTTCATCTTTCTTTGCAGGGAAATTGGACAGAAATGTCCACAGGATTTGGCTCGTGAGGCTTCTGGAGTCAAGGGTTATTCTACCTTTGTAACTGAACTGGCTGGAGAGATTCCAGCTCTGGTGCTATCCAACATGAGTGTTCTCCTGCACCACTTGGATGGGGAGGTATGTTTCTGCGTTGTTACCTGTCCAGAGAAGTCAAGTGGCAGAGGTGCTCCTATCCAGTTTTTCTGTCTGAAAACAGAATCTCTTTCGCAGAGCTCAGGTAGCCAAAACCTGCCCTTTGTAATAGGTTCTTCCCTTACCTAAATGCTGCAAAGGAAACACAAACCATGACATCTTCTGCGTGGTAGTCACGATTGGATGTCAGAGAAAGAGAGACTGCTTACTGGTCTGAGCTCCCAGCTGTTGTCTCTTGGTCTTCAGTACTTAACAAGTTTGTCACTGTGTTACCTTCTCTTCAGTGTTTCTTATGTCAGTTCTTTGCCTCTGTGGACCTAGCTGGATGGCAGGGTTGGATTAGAATCGTAGATTGGTTTGTGTTGAAAGGGACCGTAAAAGTCATCTAGTTCCAACCCTCCTGCCCTGGGCAGGGACATCTTCCACTAGACCAGGTTGCTCAAAGTTCCATCCAACCTGACCTCGAATGCTTCTGGGGACTGGGCATTCACAGCTTCTCTGGGCAACCTGTTCCAGTATTTCACCACCCTCACAGTAAAGAACTGCTTCCCAATATCCAATCTAAACCTACTCTCTTTCAGTTTGGAGCCATTCCCCCTTGTCCTATCACTACTTGCCCTTGTAAAAAGTCCCTCTCCAGCTTTCTTGTAGTCCCTTTAGGAACTTGAAGGTGCTGTAAGGTCTCCCTGGAACCTTCTCTTCTCCAGTCTGAACAACACCAACTCCCTTGGCCTGTCTGCATAGGAGAGGTTACTCTGTCTTGCAGGCACAGCTATGTTCAAGTTTAATATAATGTCCATAATAAAAAAAACTCACTTAAGGCTGGAGCCTGGGACTTGGAAGACCCAAACTCTGGGCCATCCCTTGCCATATCAAGTCATGTCTTTTGGCTGTTCCTGGTTCAACAGCTCTACTCTTTGCAGAGTTACATGATGCGAAATGCCATTCTGGCAGCTATGGCAGAAGCACTGATGCAGGTGCTGAATGGTGACCAGCTGGAGGAAGCTGCCCGTGGCACTCGGGACAAGTTCCTGAGCATGCTGCAGGCCCACGTGTGTGACGTCCATAGCTTCGTGCGCAGCCGCGCGCTGCAGCTTTTCACTCGAATCGTTCAGTGCAAGGTAAGTCTGTGCTGGGGAAAAGGTGTTGCCTCAGTCATCCCTTCCCCCTGTTGTGTTTTCTGAAGGAATTTCTGCCACCCTGCTTTTTGTTTGCAGAGACTAAAGTTTTAACAGAGAAAGGTATTGTCCCCGTGTAGTCTGGTGTTTGCAGTTCCTTTTTGACACGAGACCGAACATCTAGGGGTGAGGGAACTGGGGGCAGAAATTAAATGGTGCTCTTCATTACTGGGACAAACTAGAAGAAAGAGCACAGCATGCAGCCTCTTTTTGGACACTAGTATGGGAGAACATCACCCTTGCTAGATATGCTAAGACTAGACTCAACAGGACCCTGTATAACCAAAGTCCTTGCTTTCAGTGGAGGCTGGACCAGAAGATACCAGAGATCCTTTCAGACCTAGACTTTTCTGTAAATCTATAATCTGTGCCATTTAATACATGAATACATCTTCAGTAAAATAACTTTTCCCAAGTCTCTAAGCCTCTGATAACTTTGTGCTCTCACTGTGTGCTAGGCCCTGCCTTTGACTCATTTCCAGTCTGTGGTATCACTGGCTGTTGGACGTCTCAATGACAAATCTGTCATAGTAGTTAAAAATGCAATCCAGCTCCTGGCCGCATTT